AAAAAAACAGAGAGGAGAGATATCTAGTCAAAGATGCACAGGTGGGCATCCTTACATTTCCTGTAACAAATCCACAACTTTGCCATGTCATGACCAGTCAGCGATCAGGTGTTTCCCTGTCGCTTAGACTGTTCTTATAAGTTGTGTGACAGCACAGAACGCTTTAGCCTCAAGCTACAGGCCAATCATACCATGCCAGGGATCCTTTTTTTCTTTAAGCTAAAGCCTGTGGAATGCTGGGTAGGCAGATGACGACTGGCGGCTTGGGTCTGGTAACCTGCTGAGGGATGTGGGAGAGCCAGGGGAATGTAGAGCCCTCAAAGCAGAGTGTACCGGCCAGTCTGGCGGCATTCTTTACACATAAATGCGCACACACCTCAGAAACCCACACAAACAGTCCACATCTTTTTCCGCACAACCGGTACGTCCGAGCGTGTCTTTTGGTGCGTGAACAGCGTTAGCAGTACTGAGTGTCCCTGTATTAAAAATATCACCAGCCTCGCTCCTCATCAAACATTAATGAAAGCTGGCCTATACTTACTACATCACTACGAAACATTTTATATCCCCACCATGTTGTATTGGGAATCTAAATTGAGTGAACAACAAAAGATGCTCAAAGGGGACGCTTACATCAAATGTCTACCAATATGTTTTTAAGGCAATTATAGCTTAAAGCTTTATTTATATATATATAATAATAATAATAAAATGAATATATATCTTTAATTACAACTAACAGTTCCCAGTCCACTGGACATAAGTGAAAAATTATTCACCGTTCAGTTGGAGTTGCAATTTTAATAACACCTCTTAACAGTTCACTGAATGACTGAGTTTAATTCAAGTCACTAAATTACATTTGATGAATCTTTTTACTTATTTTTCATAAGAGTCTTTTGTTCACTCTAGACCATCTTACTTTTGACCCTTGCCGCTGTTGTCCAGACTACAGTTATAATTAAAATGCATTTATTTATTTATTTGTTCATTTGTTTGTTGCATTGGCGACTATTTTAGTCACAAACTAGAGCCCTGTTCTGTATTGTTTCATCAGGTGTTAGTTGCTTTTGGTCTGACCAGAAAACTAAACACTTAATCAAAAGTTTGGGTTGGTAAAACTTTTTTACATTTTTGAAAGACGTTTCTTATGATAACCAAAGCTACATTTATTTCATTTAAAAAATACAGTAAAAAGAGTAATATTGTGATTAATAATTTTCTAATTTCATTCCTGTCATGGCAACCTGAATTTTCAGCAGCCATTACTCCAGTCTTCAGTGTCACATGATCCTTCAGAAACCATTCTGATGCTCATTTGGTGCTCAAGAAAGGTTTTTTATTATTATCAATCTTGAAAACAGATGTACATTGCCTCTTTCACTTAAAATAGTACATTAATATGGTTTTAAATGTTTGTATCGCCATTAATGGTGCTTTGTGATTTGAATGATCACTTTGTTTCATAACACTCTGAAGAAGACCTTTAGGGTACAACAGGAATGTAAACACCTGAGATGCACAAGGTCAGAGAACAAAAAAAATAGTTGTGATTCCAGACAGGTACGATCGGCATGCTTGCTCATTCTGCTGACATGACTGAGGTATGAGGGACCTTTTCAATTTAACACGACAGATCTGTCCCGTTAAGAGGCTGTCTTTTCATTTTATCACAAAGTCACTTATCTCTACCGACTGGTTATTTCCGGCTTAAAATGGCTCTAAAGGGCATAAATTGTACAGCAAATGTTCATATTCTTGCAGTGAAATGTGTCCAGAGGGTGTCTGCTTCGCTTGAGGTATGAGTAAGAAAATGAGTAAAACATCTATCACATAATTTCTGTTTCCGAAAGATATGCCCCCTTCCTCAAAAAAATATCAGGTCATGATATTATTATCAATCTTGAAAACAGATGTACATTGCCTCTTTCACTTAAAATAGTACATTAATATGGTTTTAAATGTTTGTATCGCCATTAATGGTGCTTTGTGATTTGAATGATCACTTTGTTTCATAACACTCTGAAGAAGAACTTTAGGGTACAACAGGAATGTAAACACCTGAGATGCACAAGGTCAGAGAACAAAAAAAATAGTTGTGATTCCAGACAGGTACGATCGGCATGCTTGCTCATTCTGCTGACATGACTGAGGTATGAGGGACCTTTTCAATTTAACACGACAGATCTGTCCCGTTAAGAGGCTGTCTTTTCATTTTATCACAAAGTCACTTATCTCTACCGACTGGTTATTTCCGGCTTAAAATGGCTCTAAAGGGCATAAATTGTACAGCAAATGTTCATATTCTTGCAGTGAAATGTGTCCAGAGGGTGTCTGCTTCGCTTGAGGTATGAGTAAGAAAATGAGTAAAACATCTATCACATAATTTCTGTTTCCGAAAGATATGCCCCCTTCCTCAAAAAAATATCAGGTCATGATGACAGCAATTTCTCATAATTCAAGTGAGCTTCACCCCTTTTCCCCCTGAATATACAAGGCCAAATGAAGAGCAGAGGTGGGAGTATTACATATCTTATCAGCTTGTACTAACCAGACCTCTCTTGAATAGCTCACATTCTTAAGCATTCATCACCTAAGCAACAACAAACTTAAATAAACCTGGTTTTGAAAACGAATACTCTGTGGGTGAGTATAAAAGTCCTATTCGCCTGTTTATACTGTAAACACCAGGTTAATAGGAGCAAAAGCTCCCATCCCCTCCACCTCGTTCCTCCTGCGATGTGTCAAACGTGTCTTCCTGTGACGATAGAAGATGTCATTTAAAAAAGGACGACTTGAAACCTTCCAAACTGCTTCTTGAGTTTCTGCTTCTCAGGTAAAAAGTCACTCAACAGACTTTAAGCCTCAGCAGGTACTTACCTAACAAACATCTGGTTTGACAGGTTAAATACTTTGGGTATGAGTGCATGGATGAGCCAGAGGAGAGAACATGCTTAGGTGTCTGACAGACATTTGAAAATTCTCCAGGCATTTCATTTCCCCAATTAAAATCAAATGTAGACGAGTATAAATATGTTATAGGAACCAAACAGGAGAGTCCAAAACACCAACCTTTTCCAAATACCTTATGGGTCAGCTGAGCCACCAATACATATGTGAAAGAGAGACGCATGTATTCATACTTCATTTCTCCGCTGTATTCCAGGAAATTGTTGTGTCTAGACCAAATGCAGAATAGATCAAAGCACTGACCGTTGCGATGAGCAACCAGGATTATCATCACCCTCCACATTCCTGCATTCTTCTGCTTTCCATCATCATCCGAGCTGGACAGAGGCCCGCGGAGAGGGTGTGCGGAGCAGAGACTGGACACACAACAAGGGAAACACTAGAAAGGGAAGCTTTAATTAAGACCAGCGGCTCAAATAGACTAAAAGGAAAAAGATGAAAAAACAAGGGGGGAAATCTAGTGAGTAAATGTCACATTTTTGTACACAGGCAGGCTTGTGTTAAGAGTTTCTCCATTAAAGTTTTAGAACCTGTTAACAGTACACTGAAATGCTAATGCATTTTAAGTCTTCTTGTTTCTAATATTTTCTAAACATTAATGATTGCTCTTCTCAGAATCATATGAGGAAATGTGCTAATTATAGCAGCTCTGGTATTAAATCATTCAGTGAGAGAAAAGGCAGACACTTTAAAGCAGTGGCTCTCAGCCACGAGTCTGGGATCCACTAGGGGGCTCAGCAAACATCCAAGGGGACCACAGGATGACTTAAAGATAAAAAAAAGTGTCATAATTTACTCATCCTCAAGCTGTTCCAAACCTGTGTGAATGTATTTATTCTGCTGAACACAAAATAAGATATTTTGAAGGTTGATGGTCCCCATTGACTCCCATAGTATGGAAAAAAAATACTTTTCATGCAGGTTTGGAAAAACCTGAGTAAATAATAACAGAATCATTTAAAAATGTATTTTAATTAATATGTTATTAACACAAATATTATTATTATAATAAATAAACTACAAGAATTTAACTAATTTAATTAAGGTGCTAGAATACATAAAGAGACAATAAATCATATTTATTTTGCTTTAAAGAAATAGCGATGAGTTATCAGATGTCATTAGCAGTGTTGGGGGTAACGCATTACAAGTAACGCGAGTTACGTAATCAGATTACTTTTTTCAAGTAACTAGTAAAGTAACGCATTACTTTTTTAATTTACAAGAAAATATCTGAGTTACTTTTTCAAAAAAGTAATGCCAGTTCCTTTGTTTTCCCATTTATTGACTGACAAGTCTCCTGTCCCCATATTGGGAGAAGTCGTAAGTGCAGAGGAGTTGTGTGCGATGAGCAAATAAAAATCTCATGATAATTTTGCAGTGAGAGAGACCAGGGCTACTTGTCACAGAAAGATGTTGTCACAAGGTAACACTTTAGATTTTTCTGTTCGTTTGTATTTCTTAGTTATTTTACTAAATGTAAAGTTTATTAAAGGCAGGTTTCATTTTAAAATTGCCCTATATAGTGGGACAACATGCCCCAAAACTGAATGAGGTTTTTGCAAAAGGTCAACATGTGATCAATATTTCTATAGAAATTGCATTTCTAATTAACCTACCTTGAGCAACAGCTATAATATACATATGTATATGTATAAACCTAAAAAGTGCGGCAACTATCCCCATTGTTCCCTAAGATGAAGTTTTCACAGCAGCCCCTGTAGGGATAAAGACATCATGACTTTGGGAAGCAACCACCACATAACAAACCAAAACTGTTTCCTGTGGATCTTTCCGTTGAGTGGAAATTTAGCTAAACTGTCTGTTAATAGTCGTGATGTCATTTCTATATTGTTATTAATATCTTTTAACACAATGAGGTCATTGAGTCATACGGAATTTTTACATCCCACCCTGAGAGGTCAGGCTCACATGTGATACTACGCACGACCACGCCTTCTAGCGGCGTTCCGCCTGACGGCAGTGTTATTGAAAGCCGCCGGCCCCGCCCACCGCCGGGAGAACGGCTCTAAACAAGTCAGTCCGTGCCTGTGAAGCAGTACTGCGGATCACGACTGGCAGCTCACTCATGCTGCGCACACGCTCTCTGGCTGCTGACTCCTGTATCTAGGGGCACTCTCGTGCGATACTGCCCGTGGGAATATACATATACCGCTAACATGTCACGGCATCACAGGACGCCGAGGAAAAACGAGGAGAGCGTAGTGGAGGTGAAGAGCAAAGTAAGTGAATCCCATAAATGTTGCATTAGGCTGCGTTTGACAGCGTGCATATGTAAACACTGCGGTTTACGCAGCTCTCCGCGGGAGCGTGTCCGTAATTGGAGGGGTTTCAATCCGGCGCATCAGTGTTGGGGTTTGTGTACTAATCCATCCATAGAAAGAAACGCTGATGGTGCTGTACGTGTCAGACTACGAGGCGCGAGACGAGCGCGTTTGGCTGGGATCATTATGACAGCAGGTCTCTGTCCGGTCCGTGTGATGTGATACGCGGTGCTGGTGCAGTGTGAAGGATCCGACCGATAGACAGACGTGCGCAATGAGGCGATTGGGCCCTGTTGATCAATTATGCATGTTACATACCAATAAATAACAAAAACCGAATCCCGCAGTCCAGGAAGAATCAGATGCTAATGATGCATCTGAGAGGCATTAATCATATTAGCAGAGCCGTGGACTACATAAACTCGATAAGACGCTGGTTTCTATTCCCAGGCTAAATTCAACTGTTTTCCTTCGATTACAACAAGTAAACAGGTATTCATAAGCAATAACACAAGAAAAAAAAGTGCATTTGTTTGGAATACAGCTGGTACGAGGCCACAGGTAATTATAACCTTGTTGATATTCAGTGCTACAGAAACATTGCCAGTGACGTTGCTCTATAAATATTGAAATATCCTATGCTTCAGACCAATATTGACCAGTTAATTAATGTATTTCTTATCTGCGGGTGAAAATAGTTCCAAAAGAAGCCAAAGCATCATGCTTTGAGTGTCACTATGCAATGCACACTAAAAGCAGGACTGGATCAATAACTGTGAGTGGAGTGTAGCAGCCCCTTTCTGGTATCTAAGCCAGCTCCAATACCACTCCGGATTTTTTATCTCGTGCTACAAGAACACGGAAATGTGCTGTTATACTAAATATCACCAATTTTTTTATAGTGGTTCTCAACCTTTATGACTCTAGGGCCCCCATTGTCTACAACAATATTCAAAGGCCCCATGACTGTTCAAGTTGTCCTTGATTTACTGGATAGGGATTACGTATTTTTTTACAATGTTTTAACTTACAACTTCTACCCAATAAAATATTTTAAACCTTGTATATTTATGGAATCTATCAAATACTGTTATTAATTTACAGTATTTTCCAGGTTTGCTGTGGCCCCCTAGTCAGCTCCTGCCTCCTGGTTGAGAACCACTGTTGTATAATAGTACTCGACAATTGTCTAAATTAAAATGTCATCGTGATAAATTTGAGGCCATAGATGCATAAAAAAGGCCTCATTTATGGGAGGAAACACTCTTTACTACATTACATCTGATGGTGCATGAATGAATATTAACAGACAAACAGCTACAACTACTGATGTAGGTTTAAAATATTTCATATATTTTATGACGTTTCTCATGGCCTCTATAATTACTAAAGACACAGACCACTTATTGTTGGTGTCTGGTGTATTGGAGTTGTTTGTTGTCAATGCGCCCAGTATGCTTATTGGAAAACCTCAACCACAATCTGCCAAACAGAGCAGGATATGTTTTATTATCCCTCCATTCTTGAGAAATGTTGGGTGGGCAGTGCATAGATGTGTGTGAAAGAGGAGAACAGTAAACAAAAGAGAGCTGTTTAGTAAGATTCCATTGAAGTACCAGGCCTGTATGTTATATAGTGTCTTTTTTATTATTATTTATGCGTGAACTGGCTAATTTAATCACCTGAATCCTTCTTCCCGAGGTTTTGGTTTTCATAACAGGCAGTGCAGCGTGTTTGGTGACACTCTTTTCTTCCTGAGAGGAAATTGGAGGGAAATGTTTTCTTTTCTACTTTTCTAGCTCTTGATGGGATCCTGTCTCATATTATCTATCACTTATTCATTGCAATGGCATTTTTAGTGAGCATGTAGTTTAAGGTTTGTGTTTAACAGTTCATAGTAATGTCTTTTCTCCAACAGGCTGTTTTCATTGGTTAAGTATGACAGGTATGGCCTTTTTATCTGTATTGCTATGGTTAGTGTGGTGATCCAAGCCCAACAGCATTTCTTTTTTTTTCCACCAGTTTTTGCTAAATAAGATGGTTATAGAATAAGGTGTTGATTCTTGTTATAAAGGGGGAGGTAATGTAAATGTTTTCAATTGGGATGATAATGTATATATTATGCAATCAATGTGTGTGAAGAAAAGTAAATGTATCAATAAAACTATTTACAATTTTATCTCTAAAATTCCAGTCCTTTTACTGACAGATTTACATTTTACCTCTGTAATGTGACACAGGATATTTAACAAGAAAAAAAAAATGTAAGACCTGATTTATCCTGATTTATTAAAAAGACATGCTTTTTTCTCTTTTGAGTAACTTGTGCAATTAATTGTTCACAATAAGACCAAGGATGCATACTAAGAGAAGACATGTAATCTAACTTCTCTTAATTTCAACAGTATAAAAAAAAGATGAAAGTATTGGAGAGAAACGTACAGGATTAGAGATGACAGAATGGAAACACCTTTTTAATCAAATATGTCGCTGATTATCACATCTAAAGGATTTTTTGCTTTCCTGTAATTTAAGAACCAACATCCTTGATTCTTTTTATCTACCACAGGAAAAATCCTTTGACATTATTTTTGTGAATGGGCACATGGCCCTAAGAAAACGCCGTCTGTGACCTACTGAATGACTCCACATTCAAATGATCTCCAATATGACCTTGTATATTTTTCCACTAATATTCTCCATCTCCATATGTAAGGTATTCTCCGTGGATACAAGAGAAATCATTGGCTCGGATGCAATTCCTCCTCATAATCTGAGCAACCTGACAGATTTTGTCCAATATGTTCAGCTGAGCTCTTGAGATGAATTTCCCATCCGCTCCGAGTGTGTGTGTGTGGTCTGGAGAAGCTCAGCTTTTTAATGCCACTGTTCTCATCTTTCCCTTTATCTGTAGCACTTGATTAGATTGACCCTCCCTTTGTTCTTCACTGCTCTTTTTTTACCTTAATGGCTTTCTCCGAGCTGCAAGTACACATCAAACAGCTCTGCAGCTGCAGGAGCAAGTGAAATTGGTACGAGGAACTGAATGTGTCTGCAGACTCTTCATGCAAAGATGCATCTGTGTGTAAAGTCACTGTCCAAGTTTCAATTGGAAAATCTTGAAAATCACATTCACATATCTTACAGGGTCATAATCTGTTGAAGTCACAATTGATCTACCAAGCTAAGTGCTGGGCATTAAGAGCCTGTTGTGTGTTTATTGACATAGTTTAATATGATTGTGGTTGTCCTGCAGTTTGAGGCGGAGTACCGAAGGTTTGCCCTGAAGAGGAACGGAGCCGGGGGCTTCCAGGAATTCTACCAACTGCTGCAGACCATTCACCGGATCCCCGGAGTGGACGTGTTGCTGGGATATGCCGACATCCATGGAGATCTACTTCCAATCAACAATGATGACAACTTCCACAAAGCACTGTCCTTGTCCAATCCGCTGCTTCGGATTATCATTCAAAGGAGAGGTAAGTTGTTATGCTGCATGTACATCACAAAGGTCAACGTTTGATGTTATTTTAAAGCTTAAAGGTAAAGTGTGTAAATTCTACACTACCAAATGGAATTGAAATCGGGTTTGTGTGGCTGATCTCAACAAGAACCAATCGTTTGAGTTTGGGGAGGGGCTACCTGTTTGTCCGACCAATGAACTTGAACCAATAAACCAGCACGTTGGAGTAAGTAACATTTTAATGTCTCTTATGTGCACCAAAGATGTATTTATTTGATCAAAAATACAGTAAAAACAGTAATTTTGTTAAAGGGGGTCATATGATGTTGCTAAGAAGAACATTATTTTGTGTATTTGGTGTAATGAAATGTGTTTATGCGGTTTAAGGTAAAAAAACCACATTATTTTCCACATACTGTACATAATTGTTTCTCATCTATGCCCCGCCTTTCTGAAACGCATCGATTTTTACAAAGCACATCAATCTGAAAAGCGAGGTGTGCTCTGATTGGCCAGCTATCTAGTGCGTTGTGATTGGCCTAGAGCTGTGAATACCTCAAGCGTGTGACAGAAATGTTACGCCCTTAACATATACTGTGATGCCCTGTCCGGCCGGAGCGATGAGACAAAAACATTAAAACCCATTATAAACGAGGTATTTGTTGCATCCAGTGGGGACATAATTACGGATTATAATGACTTATACTGTCTTTTTACGAGTTGCGTTGCATCGCACCGTGTAAACATAAAACCATGTCTGCATTTGTGATCGGAGAAATGACAAACAACAAGCGCTACTCTGCACTGCTCAAAACTCGCGTTTGAATCATCAGTGGCAAATCCTTAAAATGAAAACGTACTTACAGTCTGTGAGTCAGAACAGCCAGCATTGTAGTCTACTCTACCAGGATCAGGAAACAGTCCTCCATAAAATGTGGTGCACACATCTGAATATTTGGGTTGAACTGTTCTGGAAAAGTGTTGTAAATACAACTTAACCACTGATTTCTAGTCGTGTCCTCTTTTGGAAGGCCAAACAAAGTAGTTTCGCTTTCACAACGAAACACTCAGCGTCACACACGGCGGACTTGAGTGAGCGGAGGTCGGCGGGCTAGAGTGAGGAACGGCCGGTGGGCTGAGTGAGCGGAGGCTGGCGTGCTGAGTGAGCGACGGTCGGTGAGCTTGAGAATGGCGCGACCGGCGGATTCGACGAAGGAGCGGCCAGCGGGCTTGCGGCAATCACATGTGATGACCCCGGGCTGGACTCCGCTTCCGTGAAAGTCGATCCGGTGATCCACACCGCGAAGTTGATGTATTTCCTTAGCGACCAGCACGGATAAGCTCCAGGCATGACGAAGCAGATATCGTCCTCTTACGATTTCACTACGTCAAGTAGTTTCGCTTTCACAACTAAACACATAGCGCCTTCACGACATGGCGGCAGCAACAACAATACTACAGCGAGAATAAAAGTTACGCCTTCTTTCTTTGCGTGAACATTTGGGTGGCGTTATGCAAATCTTCCCACATCGTGACGTAGACATGTGGAGGCGTGTTAGAACGAGCCGTTTTAGGTAGGCGTGGTTGACTCTTAACTTTTATAAAGAATATCTCTTTGGATTTGAGACTTTAATCTTTGCAACTTTACAGATCTTCTTTATGCACCAAGAGCTTGTAACACTCCAAAGAGAAAGGAAAAATTTTAATCGCATCATATGACCTCTTTAAAAAACAAATACAATTTAAAATAACAGTTACAAAATTACAAAATGTAATTTTTACTGTGATGGCAAAGCTGAATTTTGAGCAGGCATTACTCCAGTCTTCAGTGTCACAATCCTTCAGAAATCATTCTAATATGTGGATTTTTTGCTCAAGAAACATTTCTTATTATTATAAATATTGAAAACAGTTGTGCTGCCCAATACATTTTTCTTTAATGATCAGAAAGTTCAACAGAACAACGTTTATTTGAAATGGAATCTTTTAAAACTTTATAAACGTTATCAGTGTTTTAATTCATTTAATGCATCTTTGCTGATGCATCCAAAGGCGTTTGAGTGTTTGAAAATGTTTTGCAATTTGGTTCTCAAGCAAAGCAGAAACCACACACTTCACCTTTAACATTCATTTTAACAACGTCAAACCAGGATATTTTTGATGAATTATATGTAGCATTTTAGAATTGCTAAATCATTTTATGTTAAAATGCATTTTTTTGCGCATGTGGAAAAGGGATATGGATGCAGCATAGCTGATGCATGTAGGTGTTTGTGTGTATGAGAGAGTTAGGCATTAAAATGATGTATCGTCTTTTGCTGTCATATGTCGTTATCCATATTTGACTCCAGAGGGAATAAAAAGTAATTCCAGTGGTGTAATGTTGTGCACAAGGATGAGGGCCATTATGGGCTATGATGGGTGGGCGTCAGCATTAGATGGTGCCAGTCGGGGCCCATCTCTGTTTAATGGCGGTACTGGCACTGCGCCAGCCCTGAGGTGCTGAGTCTGATAGCGGTGAGGAGGAGTGATGAGCCCACACCCTCATCTCTCGCTCTCTCTCCCTCTTTGATGCTTTCTTGACGTCCTTCCTTGTCTGTATTCTCTTTCTGTCATCTTCACAACCCTCTCGCTCTCCCTCCTGTTTCTTCATCACTCTTAATGCCTTGTCACACTCAATGAGTTTTATTAAATCTGAACCACAGCACTGAGGAAATGTTTAACTAATGCTATTAGGAATGCTTTTCTCATTGTCAAATAGTTCTTCCTTTATTTGATTGTTGTTTTTGTTTACGCCACCTGTTCAAATCCACTGTGAAAGGAACTGAGCACCATTTTTCAGCGTTTTAAAAGACTCAAAAAGGGAACTATTTTATTTATTCAAGGGATTAAATCAGATTATTTGCTGGTTAGCAATATGAAAATTATGATTCGAACATCAAGTTTCAACTAGCTTCTACAGTTATTGATGATAGGTAGGCCCAGATGGAATCTTTGCATTTTCTGAACAAGTTTTAAGGAAAATCTATGGAATTATTAGGATGTAAACATAATGTGTTACATGGATCCTAAATACTAGCTAATAGGTTAATAAACACGACAAACACATAACAAAATTACTGAAACTTAAATTAAAATGAAAAGTCAAAATATAAAAATAAAAGCTAATTCAACATTTTAATAATATTAATAAATATTTTAATAGTAAATAATATAACATGGCTCCAGAAATCTGTTAGTTCAGATTCTGTGCGTGCCTAGTGATGGGTTATGTAGTTTTTGTGGAAGTTATGATGGAAATGATCTATAAAGTGCCACTGCTCATTTTGGAGCTGAGAATCTAGAGATTTTTTTGATGGCCTATCATGTGTGAAACTTACACCTGAATGTGAACATATATCCTATAGAGTGTTATATTTATTCATATATACATTTACAGTGTGTGTGTGCACTGGTGTTGGACTGTAATTAACAGGTAAATAGCAACATCAAATGTAGAGACTGTAGTATAAGGGAACTTTGGGAACCAATGTCATAGACATAAACGACACAAAGTGAGTTCTTTTGGGGCAGACTAGTTGTTTCAGATGGGAGAGTGTCATAGTGTGTAGGCCTATGTGTGTGTGTGTGTGTGTGTGAAGGGTTGCCTCTTAAGACATTAAGGAGAGAGAAAATGTGGAAAGAAAGGATAAGATGCTTACATCCTGCAGTGGTTTCTGCCACTTTGGCTTCTGCAACCTCTTATAGATGTGATTTGTGAGGGAAAGAGACAGCAATAATAGTCCTGTATTATGTAATCATAATTTGCATAAAAGATGGACCTCATTATATGTTCATAGTAATTCTGTAATGAGAAACTCGATACTTATGTAGTTTTAAACCGACGTACCTTCATACACACCCTTACATAATAAATCAGAGTCTTAGTTGTTACTATTTATTGTTAATTGTTGATAATTACACTAATGCAGCTTGTTTACTGTATACACGTGTGGGGATGTGTATGCATGATGACATTTCCCTGAGTATGAGAACAAATGACTAAAGGTGACGTAACAGCCAACCAAATATTTGCAGCTTTTCATTGCAAGCACAGGGATTAGGCCTATTGTTTTAACTGATGTGTGAAGCCACATGCATCAACAATGAAAACTGCTACCTGCACCTATTAGTACAATTCAAAATAACTATAATATATGTAAATGTAATTTATTCCTGTGATGGCAAAGCTGAATTTTCAGCAGCCATTAGGCTACTCCAGTCTTCAATGTCACATGATCCTTTAGAAATCACTCTTAATATGCTGATTTGGTGTTCAAGAAACATTTATTATTATTATTATCAATGTTCAAAACTGTTTTGCTGCTTAATATTTTTACTTAATTCCTTGACTGTCACTTGGAATCCGTTTTATACATCCTTGCGAAAGTTAAGGATTTATTTGTTTCAAAAACAAAGTCTTACAGATTGCAAACTTTTGAACGGTTGCATATATAGAAAATAGATACTCAGTGGTGTTACCAATATGGTTGCCGAGTTAAGTGACTAGCCTTAAAGGAACTTTGAACACACTGAAAAACCATGAACACTGGCACTGCCATTGAAGAGTAGATCTATCTGTCTGAGCCAGTCTTCACTTAGAGCCAGAAAGTCCATTATAGTGCTACAAGGCCATGCAACTTTTGACTCCCTTCCCTGGAAACTGCTCAGAAATATCAGTTTGCACCATGTACCAAAGTGACCGACAATTCAGCACTGCATCCTGTGTGACTGAGTACAGGAAAGGCAGTTTGTCCTTGTAACGATGAGTTGAATTCTGATTTTTTTTTAAAGAGTCACTCGTTTGTGAATTAATTAGTCTGTCCAATTTGTGAACTAAATCAATGGGTGAATTAGAACCTTGGAAAGTTGAAAAGAACCAGCACATAAAAATAATGTTTTGTCAAATATGCTTGACCTCGAAATTTTTGAATAAAATATCAAAACTCAATCCGTCTGCCAAATGAAAGATTTCTC